GAAAACCACCCCCTTCCCAAAAAACAGGAGGACAATAATAAAGGCTGTTCTCCAAAGCTGTGATGAGAAGACACAAGCCTGTGTACTGTCACAAATATGCAAATCATCCTGGCTCAGAGAGGCCTTCGCTGCACCCATCAGTCACATCTCATGCTATTTCATTGTGCCGCTGAACACTGTGTGTGTGCAATTAGATTGTGTATCTCGCAGAAAGTATGAGGGTGTCAAGAGATTATCATTGAGAAATCTTTCAAATAAATCACCTTGGAGATAATTATATCACATCATTGCCATTAAGCCTCTGACATTTCCTTTATTCTTTAATGTGAGTATAATGAAATGCTAACATTAAATTCAGTGCACCTCTTCCCAGATGATAATGGACTAAATGGGTAATTATGATTTAACTGGATAGCTGGGAGCTCTCAGGGCTCAATGGTGACCTGCAGTTGACGATTGTTCTTGTAAACGGATATTCTACGCTCTGTGGCACGAGCTCCATTGAACTGTCATGGGGCTGTGGGGGTCTGCAGACCGCCACACCACCTCCAGCATTCTCCGAATCGATCACGTCGCAGCGTCCTGCAACAGAAATTCACCCAGCACAACTCCTCCAATTACTGCTGATGGCCCACATCTTCCCATCAGGGGTATGAGTTGGAGCCAGGAGCAGTCGTGGAGGAAAAGCAATAGAGTCGTTAGCCTGAAGTGGAAAGAGAGGCAGAGGGGGAAAGAAGGGATGTGTTGACAAGCATGCACAGCTGGTGAAACCTTTCCATGTCGAACTTTGCCAAGACGGATGTTGAACTTAGACCCGGCCATACATTATTAATATTAACCACTAACACAAGAATAAAGGAGCATTTACCCACCGAGTGACATTCTTGAATTAATCATAGAGCCGTGCTGAAGAGGCATCGCTGAATTCTCTTTCATGGAAAACCTGGCAATTTTCTCTACCATGACAGATGTCCTTAGAATGAAGAAGGCCACCAGCTCAGCTCAGTTATCTTGGGCATTATCCGATGTGCCCTCAACATTTTAGAAGAGAATAGCTTATGTTTGATGGGTTCTCTATTCAGGTCATGGTGTCGTCATGGCAAAGTTTACTTCTTGTTAGTTTGTGGCATTAAAATGATTTGATTATGCTATAGGTGTGTAAAGTGTGCAGCGGAGTGAAGCACCCAATTAGAGTTTAGATATACATTCAAAATACAGCACTAGTTGTAATTGCAATAATTTCAGCAAGAAATCGTTGCAATTGACTGCTAGGCAGAAGGCAATTTCAGCCATTAACTCTCATTATCAGTTTTCAGTCCAATGTCTGCACAGTAGGACTTCACACTTGTGTGTGTACAGCAGGTTTAAAGCAAGGGCACATATCTCTTTTGCCCTTATGAGGGACAAAAGGAGGCATTTTTAAGAGAACACTTAAGCGCCATTATCTGAAGGTCTCTGTCCCATAGGGAAGTAAATCTACAACTCAAGTCTCAAGTCTTTTGCAATCTTTAGCAGGCTTTTTCCCCCCCAGTACTGCCCCAACTTTAGCTCTATCCATCTTGCCAACTCTTTTCGTACGGCATAATGATATCACCACCACCCCATTTTACTGTGTAAATAGTATCATTAGGGTGATGTACCGAGTTAGTTCTTTTTTCTACACAGAATTTGCAGGCAAAGAATCCACCTTTGGTCTCATCTTTTCAGAGCCCCTTGTGCCACATGACTGCTGTGTTTGGCTTGTGGAGAATGCAAATAACTAATAAGATTAAAACAACAGCTTTTCTCTATTGTGACTGCACATTAATAGTAGAATACTGTGTTGCATACTTTTGCAAAGCACTGTATCTCCCAGCTGAAGAGTGAAATGGGCACTGTCACTACAACATACTTGCAGCCTTGCTTATTTCATTTATGATCTTCTTTTGCAAAGTAGCTGTGGAAAATAATCTTTTGACAGTAAGTACATAAAATTATATTTTAAAAAATTCTGGTTAAAATAAGCGTGGAACAGGTCAACCGCTTTTCGAAAGAGTTACAAGTAGGTGTGAAGTAAGTCAATACCTGTTCCGCTCCCTCTATCCAACCCTCTATTTTCAGACTTTGTCCATTCGTCCATCAATGTCAGATGAACAGACTGACATGGTCAGCCCACGGACAAGAAAAAAAAAATATGCATGCACACACACCACATCCTCCTGCACAGTGTGAACTTTTCAAAAAGTGTGTGAAAGTGTGGATGCACCCACGCACATGCTCTGGTGTGATTACGTGCTCAGTGTCTGGCCACAGAGCAGAACATGACAGAACAGTGGTTGAACAGTGTTACAGCCAGCTGCTGCTGTCTGAGGTTTCTCTGCTCGGAATACATCAGGCATTTCTGGGAGCACTGCGGATTTTAATGCCACAGGAAAATTTACACTCTGTGCAAATTTACTTCACAAATTACTGCCACTCCAAAATAACAAATAGATATCAGCCTATATTTCCTATACCATAAAGATGTTAATGAGCCTTGAACACCATGCTGTTTATGGTTTACAGACATTTTGATTGGTAAGTTTTTGGATTTACAAAATCCAAACTCTTTGACAGAACTAATGGGTATTATTTCACCATAAAACATTCATTATTTCTTTGCACTACTGGTACCTTAAATAATGTAAGCAGAAAACATCAACAAAAGCAAAGCATAAGAGATTTTGGGTTTGTACATAACAGTGGCACAGCCTGACATCCTGTGCCTATTTTTGTTGTTTACTCCAACTTATAAAAGGATTACTCTTGTTGGAGTAGGTCTCCATATTGGAAAATCCTGCAGGAAACTTCATAATCCTTTTATTCTTGATATACACTCTCATTTGTATTCCCTGGTTTGTTCACACTGCATTTATTGCTGTTTTTTTTTTTTGTTTTTGTTTTTTTTTATATTTCAGTTTTTTAATCCGTTTTTAGTTATCTTTTTTTCCCTTCATTTCAAAGTTTCCTCACTCTTATGTTCAGATTTAATAACCATTCAGGATCCACCCTGATAAAGCTGCAGCTGAGGGGGAGATGTAATAGAGATACTACACCAACCGTGTTTTGAACATGAAATAATATCATCGGTGGTGGAGTGATATATTGCTCCCTGTCATGTAGGAGGAGCAGGTGTTTAGTCTTTTGATACCTTCCTCAGCGTCCCTTGAGCTGATAGTCGGTATAGTACCTAATACATTTACGACAGCTGACATTGCAGAAATGTTCGTCTTTGTCTGTTTTTGTTGCCACCCGGCGTGATAAATAAAACATTTTAGTTTATCCAAAAGGATGACCTTGTAAGTTGTTTTTCTTCGCTCTGCCCTACAATCATTCCCCACATGATTTCTTCCTTTCCTGTGATTTCGAACAGCAGAGTATGCTTAAATCACGCTGCTCAGGTCGAGTATTCACAATTCAGTTGGACTCGTACAAAGGCCATTCCCCTGTGGATTTGAAGGTAATTACTTTCCCCCTTGATGACAACCCCATTGAATTTAGATTAAACCAATAACAAATGTGGCATGCAGCGCTAGATGACATCCTGTCATTAGGCTGTTAATGTGCGCACCCCTTTTGGTTTTCCTCGCGTGGCATCAGCTGGTCCCCCTCTACATCCACAGTGGCTGCCCACAAGCGAGTGCAGCCAGCACAGTGGCAGATGAGACCCACAGAGGAAGTCTCATCAATAATGGAGAGCGGTAGCTGAGGGAGTCATGCAGAGGAATTGTGTTGGAGTGAGAGTGCATTGCAGCTGGTATGTTTGTGTCATTTCTCCCAAATGGACATTTTTTAGAATGAAGTTATCGCCAGAGGATACGCATTACATTAAAGGCAAATATTATTAGCTGATATGCTGCATAAATTATCACATTGCTATTTGACGACGTGCCTGTAAGGTTTTTAGGACATAACGGGCATTTTGATGATTATCCTAAGATTACTTCAAGTCATGTGTGTCAGAGGCTAAAAAGAATATTTACATATCCAAACATTTATAATAAGAATTTATAAATGTGTACTTGTTGTTTTGAAATTGCAGTAAAGCAAAAAAGAAATATCTCATCACTTTTCCTTTATTCTTCTATCACAGCGGGTAAAGACTGCCTTGTGGTATTTGGGATGTATGACCAAATGACGGATTGCGTCAAATCTAAGACACATTAATCTAGCTAGCATTCATGGGTACCCGGATGCTACCAAAATTCTTTCAGAAAGCTGTCTATCACTAATGCTCGTATCACATGTGAACTAAAATGTTTCCTAGCCATCTACAAAAATTGTCTATACATGAAAGAGATTTCTGCACCTCCGCCATCCGTTTCAGACTTAACGTATAAGAAAAACATTATAGTGATTTTTATAATTTTTTTGGCAGAGACACCACTCCCACTTCAATCTAAAGATATTGGTAAACAGCCATGGAGAGCACGCCACACCTTTCTGCAGACAGCCGCTTTACCTAGAGAACTGCCGGCCTGAGGCCATGACTTTATTTTAAACGTGGCTGCTGCTCCCAGAACTCAAATATGCTGTTACCACAATAATGAACCACCACAATCTTACCACTGAAGTTGAATGCTTAACTTTTCTCACAAGTAATGGGGAGAACATTGCATTCTTGACACACCCCAAGAACCCTCAAAGACCCATCCAAGTTCTGGTTGGTTGATAATGTCTTGGAGTGGTCTTAGTCCGGTGTGAACGAGGCCTGAGGCGGTGTGTAACGTATGCAAAGAACTAACTCTCAGTGTTTATCTTCACTGACAGCTGTCCAGATACAAACACAGAAATCTGTCACACTCCACAGGGCTGACAATGACCCACTGGCTGTTATAGTATGGCAGCGTCTCCTCCCAGCTGCCATCCTGCTCGTTCCATTTTTTTTTTCAATGCCTTCATTGTATGTGGAAGAGGAGGCCCATTCTTACTCACAACTCTCTTGCTCTCTCTGTCTCTCTCTTGTGCTCCTGTTTCTCCAGGGGCCGGGTCTGAGAATGTAAAACCGTAGGGAGATTTCGGATGTCACTCATGACGCATCTTCTATTGCGTTTGACCATCTTGAGCTGCGAACATCTCTGCTCCGCATACAGCAGCGTCTACAGTCAAGCACGAGACAAAAGCTGGTGACAGTATCTGACGGCACAGGAGGACAGAAGAAAACCGAAGGAGGGGCCTGTGATTGCTCCTGCTTGTGAGTACTGTTTTGTTCTCATTGTTGTTGTGGGGGGAACACATTTCCATACAAGTCACCGGGGCTATGCTTCTCATTTAATGATTTGTTTTTGTGAAAAAAAAAAAAAAATCAAGTATAACTTGAGAAAACAATGAAGTAAAGATATTGGTTTCTTTGGTGGAAGCAGTGAGAAATCCATTCAGAAATGTTTTCCCATTGTGTCAGGATAGTTTTGTTATCTGTGTAAAGCTGTCAGAGCTGACCTTGACAATCATGCTTTTGTTCACATTTTTCCAACTGTCACACCATAGTTTATTCTTTGCATTTCTAAAAAGAAGCTATATTGAAAACTTATAGTTTCAAAAAATGTGGTTAAAAGGAACAGTGGTAACAGTGATAGTATCTACATTCTTGGCATCTTTCTTCCTGTTGTTTTTGCATGTTCACAGCTTTCTGTCCTGTTTGGTGTCCACTGGAAGTTACGTTTTGCTCCAGAAATGTAGAGGAATTATTCAGATCACAGACAAAATGACCTCACAGATCCAATTGCTTCTCCTGCCTACAACGGCCTCCCATACTATTTGAGATTGAAAGTTGATATGTATATGCCAGATAGAAAAGAGAGCAAAATGGTAGGAGCTTGATCTGCTGGTGTTAAAGCTGCAGATAATCTTAAGGCAGTGAGGCAGTAAATGATTAGATGGAGAGGTGTGTGAAGAAGAGGGGAAAAATAGATTGAGTTGTTAAATTGCTTTTAGGTTCTGTTGTCTCATCGCTGCACTAAGGAAAAATACTGTGATTGTGTAATTGGACAGCCTGGGGTATGAAGAATCTAAAGTTTCAACCTCTTCCTGTACAGTTTAGAAAGTTTTGGCTGAAAAAAAGCATGTTGGCAAACACATCCATAGGATATTACATAAAACACAGTGCCGCGCAATATCACACTACATAAACTGCTCAGTAAAAATAGCCCAAGTTGGAATGTTCTGCTAAACCAGTTCTGGGATCCAGAATATTTCACTGTCAAATCTAATGTGAAAACACAAATTATGGCTTTGACTAATGTCTGTCTGTCTGGCAATAATTCTACTAAAGAGTGAGCTGCATAGCATAATGCTTTGCCTGCAAGTATAACAAAATTGTACGGCATGAGATGTTACAATATTAAAAAAAAAAAACATAACATTGCTCCTTCAACCCTTTAGTTTGACCCCTGGCTCTGAAAGATAGCGTTTTAGGATAATGTTTGAAACTGTTATTTTGAATAAAGATGTGAAGAAGAGTTGCCTGGTTGTGTGACCTTGTAAAAAGTAAACAGAAGACAGTGGCTTATATTTAGACATGTAAAGACTGAAAAAACATGCTTGGGAATGGCTTATGGATTAGAGCAGTTACACACCTGTGTGTATGGACTTTCATCTTGTACACTGAAGTCATAACCAACCACTGTTTACTATCGTTAAAAAGAATCTAAATAAAATGGCACCATGAACTCAGTGTCCAATGATGAAGATGTAGAGGTATGACTTTCTCTATCCACACCCCAAGGAAGGCACATGGTTGTCACTGGGACCATCTCCAGAGCAGCTACAAGTAATGTTGTCCATTGCCAGTTTTAGGTAAAAAGTTGAAGCAGATAGTTGAGACAACAGCAAACAACACAGATCTGCAATGTATCACCGTTTTAAAATGTCAGTGGTAACCTCAGCATTGTGGATGCCAGGTGAATAAAAAAATGGTGGAGTTATGTTCCCACAAGCTTTAATGCTGCCGATACATGAAGGACATATCGGCAGTGCAAAGTTTAAAAGAAGGGTGAGAGAGTCTGTTTTCTTGCAAGGAATCAACAAGGACATTGAGATGCTGATAAGCAAAGCAAATAGCCTATGGTGTTAGCTGACCTACCAATAGCACCATGGCTCAAATTAAATACAGATGTAGGGAAAGACTATTTTGGGATAATCAGTACTCAAGCCAACTTGAAATGGCTTTATTAGCAAGAATATCAGAACTACAGTATGCCATGACACATGGCAAATCACTCTTTACCATGCTTGGCATTCTACATACTGTGATTTGCAGAAAAGCGGGGGTTTAAATTCTTGAGCCACTGTTAAACATAGATGCAGACATTGACTCTGGTCTATATATGGCTCTACTAAGCCTCACAGCATCACCACTTTGACCTGCTGAGCTTTTGATGAGCAGGTAGATCTATACCACCCTGCCAAGTTACACAAAAACAAATCAATACCAACCAGGTTAAAATATAAGCTACAAACGCAGAAAGTAAGGCAAAGTCATTTTATTGAAAAATATAAAAAAAAATCAGCCAAGATTCAACCATCCACTAACATGATGACACAGCCAGTGTCATTATGATGATGATGATGATGGAAGACTAAAGTGACCATTTAGCAGGAAGTAGCTCTATGTTAATTCAAGGTAAAAATAAACTGAGAATGGGAAGAACCTTATACATAATTGCCGTATTTATCATAAACTCTACCAGGTGAGCTAACAGAAAGTCAAAAGTGACTCAGAGACCATTATGACAAATAAAATAAAAGAATGTCACACAGACGTGACCAGCGAGGGTCAACTTTTGTTGAGAATATCCACCAGTAAAGTGGAAAAAAACTAACATTGAACTTATAAGTACAAAAGATTCATCTGGAGTAGTGTGACGCTGTGTTGGTGATTTGTGTTAATATGTCCACATAGGCTCAGAGTTGGTTAAAATTTACTTTATACTGTGCCACATTACATATGTTTCATGCGAAATATGTCATCATCCATGTGAAAGGTTATCCTTATTGTTGATTTGTTGCTTTAAAGAAAACTATGCGATGATTGAATAGTATATGCTTTATCCACCAGGTGGCAATATTAGTTCTGTGTGAGTGTGAAAGATACCATAAAGAGATTGCATGAAAACCTGTTGTGCAGACATATGTGCAAAGACATAAACATGTCTGGATAATGTAAGACTTGCTCTTTCAAGCACGAACCACAAAGAGCAAAGCAGATACTGTATGTAGATGTGTTTTTTATAGCATTCATGGGACTTTGCAAGCAGTCAGGGTCACCTTAAATACTATTGATTTTGTTGATCCTCCCTTTCCGCTCACTAAATTGTGAGGTTTATTGATTTGAGGGAATCAAACATAAAAAAGACCAGACTTGTGGAGAGAATAACATATCCTAAGACAATTTGCAAAAGGTAATTTACAGGTGTTTTTCATTTGCAATATCTCTACTGAACCCTTATTTTGCCAAACTCTTATTATTCCCATATTGATAAAAAAAGGGTGTCACTCTGGCAAAATTATTGTAACAATATATTATTCACATGTCATACACATGGAAAATTTACAATGCAACAATAAGGGAATGCTGACGTCAAACTGTGTTTTAATTATGACCCCAAAGTTGGGTTTAGGACATCGACAGGATTACAAATTCACAAGTTTGTGGTTTTAAAGTTTTTTGTAATTTTTTAACAAAATAAATAAAAAATGACAATCTTTAAAATATTTCTACTATACTGCAACAGAGAAGAAAAAAAATGTAAACGGATAAAAAAACCCTGCAGCATATAAGCAGTTAATTCTGTTTATGTTGTCATTTGCCATTTTATGCGATACTGCATATAAAATGGCAAATATATTCAGGATCATAAGCCTCCAGTAGTTTTGGGGATCAGAAGCTGAACATTTTTGTAATCATTGTTTTAAGTATATGACTTACGTATATACATTTTTTGCCTGAGTTACATTGTATCTCTTCTTCAGTGTGAGATACAGAATATTTGAGTAATATTTGATTTCCAGGATAACCAACAGCTGCAATGGCCAAAGACTGATGGAGGTCTTCACCACTTCTACTACTGTAATAGGTTTTAAATCAGACATTCATGACAGCTTCAGCTCTCTGCTAGTTTGTTCAGGAGAATTTAGAGATCTTTGCAATGGAGCTGGTCAAAAACAAAAACACAGCTATATCTTGTTTGCTGGTGTGTGTGTGCATGTGCGCTTGCGTGTGCGCCTGCAGTTGTGAATAATACATCCTGTTATCCAATGGATGGAAAATTGGTTAGAGAAAGCAGCAGTGAAGTTCTTTCAAGCATGCCACAGTTCCAAACCTCCCTTTCTGAGGACACCACATTCTGTGTGTCCTCACTTAGCTGCCAGCACATCCTGTCAACAGTCAGCCATACAGTCTCTTGTCAATGACATCATGTTATCAACTCTGAAAATTGTTTTTTTAGTTTCAAAGAATAGGGTGTTTCTATTATCAAATAACTTAAGATTTTAGTTCTTTATTAGTTTATCTACTTGTATTAATTTATTTGCAATCACTGCAGAAAATAGCCAGTCATGTATATTAATTTACATGAAGTTAATATTGTTGCAAACATGGAACAGGTCCAGTCAAACTAACTTGTGCTGAATCAGCTTAAGTCACTTTACTGCAGATGTTTGCAATATGTTGTAGGTTTTATTTTTATACGTTCTCGCACTAGAAAACAATTCAGGAGGGTCTAAAAGTAGTTAAATGCCAGCAAAAAATAAAATTGAGTAGTGAAAAAAAACCCTACATACTAATATTTGTGAAATATATAATCACAATAATTAAATAAAAAAAAATAGTATTGTAGTTATTTAATTATGATTGTCATTTTTAAAGATTATGAAACCTGCAAATGCCAAAAAAAAATATTTACAGCTTGAGGATGCATATTTTTCTTGAACGGCTCCTCTGCCTTAAATGTTCTCTTATGCAATATTAATGTGAAGAGCCTGACGTGTTGTGGCTTGAAGGCAACTCCCTTGTGTGCATCACACACATGAAAAGGGCAGTGTTCAATAATGCCTTCAGGATAATTTAGATTCCCTACTTTGACCTTTCCAAAAAAAAAAAAAAAAAAAAAAAAAAAAACTAACAAAAATTTTTTGAAATGATTTATAAAGTAGCACCAACCTTCCCCTATAAATGTGAGTTGCATTCACACAAAT